TAGATTCGAATACAGCTGGGCTTTTGATTTTTGACATTGCGAATACTTACAGATGATACAGCACTGGACGGCAAAGGTATGCTGGGTATGTTGAGAATACCCGTCGTCTGGATTATGATTTATGCAGTTGTTGGGTGCGCTGTATCGTTGTCGTTCTTGGATCCGACATTAGCAAATCATTTGGAGTCGGTGCGTTCGTGCTTCCATGTGTTTAAAAAGCTGTCTAAATTCTCAGAAGGGTCAAAAGTCCGGATCTCAGAAGGGTCGAAAATCCAGGCCAGTTGGGACGAAAAGAAAATTCGCTTTCAATCATGAACTAGGAGTCACTGGTTTTTGGTTACTGAATGCAGCATTTTCCAAAATTAAATTTTCCCGTCTTGGAAAACATCTCAATTGGTGATTTTTGTCCCGGATAATCCTTTTGCGTCGCTGTGATAATTCGCTGTTTTTCATTACGTAATCAATATTCCAGTTCTAATATTAGTTAATTTATCCATTTTTCGCTAAATTTTGACTTTTGTAGATTTGTAAATTAGTGCGAATGACCAGTAACTCAATTTATTCATTTGCAGTTCAAACTAACATCAGCGGTGATTGGACTAATGTTTCTATTGTGCGGAGGGATTTATACAATAACAGCGCCGTTCTGGGGCATAATTATTGATAAATTTCGTTGCAATAAATTAATAATGTTTTTTGGCTCAGCAGTAACAGTTATAAGTATGATTATGATCGGGCCTGCGCCTTTTCTACAAAGCGAAAAGTTGGTTCATGCATTTTGCTTATTGTTTTTAAAAAAAACACAACTTTTTTGATTTTTTCCTATTAGCTGCCGCTTGTGAGAATTTAGCAGTGACAGAGATTTTTACATTTATTAATAAATGAACATATGAGCACTATCCGATGTGCATCATAAAGTAGACGCCAGGTTTTTTCTTTGTGTAAAAATTTTCAAAAAGTGCTATAGAAAACCTGCAAGGCAAAGAGCTTGCCAAAAAAGTGTGTACTGTCTGCTGGAAGGAAGACAAGAAAGGGACAAGTGTTTCCGCGCTGATTTAAAAGCAGATACACAGTAGAAGTGTCTCAGGCTGTTTTTGGGACACAATGACTAATAGTGTAGTGGTTAGGGCGTCAGGCCCAAATGCGAAGACGAGTGTTTCGATCTCCAACCGATCCATACTCACTTGCAAAAAGGATGCTCCGTCACATCGCAAAGTTTTTACCTTCTGCAAATGAAAATTCGTAAAAATTTAGCATTTCTAAAATTTCTTGATAAGCCAAAACACTTCTTCGTTTTTCCAAGCCTGTTTTTCAATACAAAAATTCAAGAATTATTTTTTTGAGGAAAACCGGTTCTTTCGGAGGCGGACTCCAGTCTGGAGACTTTATGTAATCCGGAGACCTGAATTACTTAGCAATGTTTGCTTTTAGCAAGCTTTCTTTTGGAGATTTCGTGCACAAACTTGTCAAATTCCGCTTAAGCAGGCCCACATAATTATTTTCTAGGAGTCTACTATGGATAGCAGTTGCACTGTGTTTGCTGGGTATTGCTGCCGGTGCTTTGTATATTCCAACATTTCAAACAGCCATTGATGCCGTGCGGTAATGCTTTATATATTTTTTTAAAACAATTAAATACTTTTACCGGTATTTCTTACGACCCAGCATCATTTTCCTGAGTACTTTCCTGAGAACCTGTTCTTGGTGATGGCGTACCCAGCTGAGAATATAAGAGAAGCGGTAATCGATTTTTGTAACCTTTCCATTAAAATGCTTTAGGTAAAATTACG